CTCGCCTTTCTCACCCTGAAGCAAAATTACCGCATACACCTCATAGATATTCAGCGACATACCGCGCTACCGAGACGGTGGAGCCCATCAGTCCCGTCGTTCTGGATATTGAGCGACGGCTCTTCACACCGGAAAGGCCGTCATCGTACATTCCATGCTCAGAATCTTCAGCTACCATAATGGGGTACTCGTGCGAGAGTTATAGCCCTAGGCCGGACGACTTTTACTTTGATGATGGGTCAGGAGGACATGTCGTGAAGCTGGAATTACCGGAATCCGAGAAGGAGCTACTCAGTGCGGAAGACTTTCTGTCAGATATCAGGAAGATTGAATCTGCCATCGAAGTGAGTGATTGGACCTCCAGTCGGTCTTGGCTGTACAGACTGAGCGTCTGCGTTTTCTGCTACTCCCAATCAGAACGTCAAAACTTTATCGATTCTGGACTTAAACACCCATGATGTGGATGATCTCGCAAGACTGGATCAACATGAACATATGATAATGCAGTATCTGGAGCTACTTGAGAATTATGAGGTTTCTGGATATCGTGTTTTACGAGAAGCGTGTATAGGTCAGTCGCGATACTTCACATGTATCTATGCAGGCAGATCAATCGCTGATTATACCTCCTCTACTTGCTCACAGAAACTGTCAACTCTCCCAGGCGAAGGGATAAGGCGAATGTGCCCGCCGATAAAGTTACCCTTTATGCATTAGGAGTATCTGGAGAAATGGCGGTCAACACATTGAGGGAAGAGTGTTATAGACGGCTGGACAGTATTCACGCTTTGCTACATTTAAATCAAGAGTATGTGACAAACAGACTGACTTGTTTCGCGAAGACCGCTAAACTTCTCGTGTACATGCTACTTGGTTCTTAGCTTAACCAACGGCGAAATCGTAGCTGACATGGTTACAAAGCAGACACCTAATAATCTTCCGATGAATGCTCAGCAAGCGCCACAGATGATGCAGTCATTAATCCCTCGACCTTCACGTCGCCAGACCGCACCGAAAAAAAGCGAATCAATCGCCTCGACGTCGATGGTATCAGCACCTGATCATAGTCGTGCACAACGACGACAGATGTCAGAGACCATGTCAAATAGTGTAGCAAAGACGGCCGCTGAAGTGCTTGCTGATTCTCCTGTGCGTGGTAACGAGCTGGCGAACGAGCGCAAACTTCTAACCAGCGCCTTTTCCTTGTAACTAGACCCAGTTCACCTTCCAGCCCAATGAACAGATGAAAGTCTGGTCAGACGGAATCAGCGGGGTGTGTACATTCACGTTTCAAGGCAAGGAAGCGAAAGCGTACTGCAGGATGTGGAGCAAAGGTAGTCTTCTCAGGGTTTCTGTGGTCGTTGGTGGTGGATTTCAGAGTTTAGATGAGTGCGTCATGGCCTGTCGTAATGTGAACAAACCACGCTCACAAGTGAAGACTGCTTTCCTAGATGGCTCGAAAGAACATTTATAAGACGCAGTTCTACTCTGAAGCCCAACAATGAGGCAAGCGCTACAAGGGCAACGAGGAACCCGGCTACAGACACTATACATGGTAAACTAGTGCCACACATGACACCGACATCACCTAGCATGCCACACTTGTCCCTTTCATCGGCTAAATGGAACACAAACTCGCCATCACGCTCGGGGAATCCCGGACCTCGAACTCCGACTTCTATTCCAGGAAAGGCTTCAGACTCGTCGGCTCGACGCTCTTCAATGCTGCGCAATGTTTCTGCTTCCTCGACCTTCCAGATCACAGGTGATTCATCCGGATCAACTGAGACGCCCAAGACCCCAACACTGGCACAAAACTATTCGAGCTTTTCCTCTCCACTGCTTACGAAGCGAGCTAGAGACAGCCGCGCAACGGTGCTATCAAGTCATTTGTCAGATAATACCGGACCACCTATGATTGCGGACCGTCCCCTTTCCACCCAGCTGGAACAAATTTCGTTGACTTCGCCGATGGCGGTACATCAACCCAAACCAACAGATATTGATGCTTGAATTTCGGCGACCAGTAGACTGTTGGAGATAGCGCTTTTCGTCGTTTGTAATTCCAAGCAAGCTTGTGAGCAAGACGATGTTCGTTGGCAGTGCCATCTCCAAGCAATGCATATAATGCTTCTACAACGATAAGGCACTCACCAGCTTGTTTGACGATGTGGATTCGACGACAGAAACGCAGCTATGCAACATCATGTTGATCTCCCCTCGGCCTTGTAGCTGATAGCACAGTCGAATCAGTTAGCCTTTGAAATATTACCAGAGCATTTTTGCATCATTATTAGCCCAGAAGCTGGTAACCTGAATGCCAATGCGCCACGACATGTTGCATGGCAAGGCATTTGCCGCTCCTCTTGCATCTTGCTCTCGGAGCCTTTCCGGTCCGGCGTTTCCTCGGGACCTACGTTCATGCTAGCGCGCGACAGATATATCCTCTGAGGAGCATCTGCATGCTTATGTCATCTATGAGATGCAGTAGTCATGCAATCTACCGCCCTACCGCTCGTAAATCAGTACCGCAACCAACATGCTTGTGCGCAACAGGATAGACGGTGGTCAAGCACGCCCACTACGCCAAGCGAGCGTTCCGCACTAGTGACATTCCTGCTCCTGCCTGAAGAAAGGTAAAAGTCGTCTACTTTCGGCCAAACGCTATCGCGCCTCCCGCTGTGAGCATAGCAGTAGCCCTTAGGGTGGACGATCGCTACATTACCGGAGTCAGGCACTGTCATTATCTTGCGGGACCGTCGAGTTGAGATATCGGACCCCAGTGCCGCATACGGTGTGGTCCGAATTGGTATCCGAACCTTTTCCGACATGCTTCCCGGCTTCGATGAAGCGGACTGAATGTTCTCCAGGAGCTACCATGATATTCAATGCATAGCATCGACTTCGAAGGAGTCCTGTGACTTTCAGCTACGACTATATATCGGGCATCTAGGTTCGTGATATTCCAAACAACCCTTCTCCTTATTTAGTCAGTCGCATGACACTGGGGCTTCCCTCAATCCAGCTTGAAAGATGAAGTTCTCGGCCGTGTCCGTATTACTGGCAAGCTTGGCTGCTACAGCTATCGCTGCACCCAATAAATCGAAATGTTCTCAAAAAGCCGCCAAGGACAATCAAGGAGTCGTCGTTTCCGAAAACGGGCAATTCTGCTTGAACGGGAAACCCTTTTACTTTTCAGGCAGCAATGTGAGCGAGTTGACCCTGTTCCTTCTTATACATTCGATACTGATATATTTGATGATGTGATGCAGAGCTACTGGATCAGCCAGATTCCTAACGATGTCGAAGCCGTTTTTAAATCGCTCCAACAATTTGGAGAGAAAGTCCTCCGTATTTGGGGTTTCAACATGGTCGAGTCCACTCTTGCGGAACCCCTAAACCCGGAGCTCGCCTTCTATCAATTATGGCTCAATGGTACTTGGTACCTCAACACGGGCAGTAATGGGTTGGAACGATTCGACGAAGTCGTTCGTCTCGCCGAGAAATACGATGTGAAACTGTGAGCCAAGAAAAGTCCGTTACATGCAAGCTTTTACTTAAACCAGCCATTCCGCCCGCTTTAGGATCATTCCACTCACCAACAACTGGGAGGGCTATGGTTCAATGGATCTTTATAATCGGCAAATAACTGGAAATGACACTTATCATGACGTCTTTTACTCTGATTCTCGAGTGGTTGAGAGTTATCAACGTTATGTCAACTTTATCGTTTCCCGGTACAAGGACTCGAAGGCCATCTTCTCTTGGGAGCTCGCCAATGAACCTCGATGTAACGGCTACCCAGCAATCAATAGCGGGAAGTGCACGGCGGCTACAATGACACAGTGGGTGAAGGAGCAATCCGAGTATATCAAGTCAATCGATCCGCAGCACATGGTTTGCATTGGGTGAGTGGGCTCGAGATGCCACGCTCTCAATCAGCTTCCTAACAATCGGTCCTTCCCGTAGAGACGAAGGGTTCTTCAACCGACCTGGGTCTACCGGTAGGTGAATCCTTGCCGATGTCCGAAGAAATCAACTCATCCAGGTGACGGACATGCAGAGTACGAGTATAATGGACAAAGCGGAATGGACTTTGATGCGAATTTGCAGATTTCAACCATTGATTTTGGTACTTTTCACCTTTACCCGCAAGTCAGTACACGAAAAGTTTCGTATGTATACAAAAGAAGAAAAGCTGACGCCATGCCGAATTAACAAGAGCTGGAGCAAACCCGATATCAAGGCATGGGGAACACAGTATATCAAGGACGTAAGTTGCAGAAACTAGTGGATGTCATCATATTTCACTTACCCTTCGCGTTGAGCAGCATATCGCCAGTGGCAAACAGTTCCAAAAGCCTGTCGTACTGGAAGAATTCGGCACCGAGGGCTATGGCAACAAAACATCAATTTACCCCGAGTGGTTCCAGACCGCCCTCGACGGCGATATTGCCGGTATCATGCCTTGGCAGTAAGGGACTCAGATTCGACTATGCTCGTCGATGTTACATTGCTGACTTCCTTGTTGACCAACAGGTGGGGCCAGCTAGGTCTCAGCAAGGACCAGGTCATTCGGTATGGTGACGCGATTATTGGTGGCGCCAGTCCGAACGATGGACACACCGTCTACCCTAATCAGACCGAGGTCTGGAATTTGTTCAAGAGCGTAGTGGATGAGCAGAATGCTAAAAGCGGGTAAGGAGGCGGAGCATTGGGCCAAGCATGATCAATTCAAAAAGGTAGGGAGAGCTCCTTAGGAGCGGAAACAAGAGCAGCTGTAATAGTTGCTGCAATGAAAGACCCGGCCGTGTCTCCCCACCCATAAAATGTGCTTCGCCGCAAAAACTGTGGCTGTATTTCCGGTGGAAACTTCGTGCTAGAACTGGAGTTCAAGCTCAAAAAGTCCCAGATAGAAGTGGATGGCGAAATCGAACGAACAGGCCATCAGTGGAGGTAAAATGGGTGTTCCCAATGGGTTCCAAGAGTAAAAAAAGATATATCCCTAGTGAGTTTCGATCTCACGACCTTGTGCGTGATATCCGACCGAAGTCGAGATGTTAAGCACACGTTCTTCCACTGAACTATAGAGACAGCTGATGGTAAGAACAAGTCATGCATAAATATGTATCGCTAAACAATCCAATCCTCTCACAAGTGTGACTTCACGCTCCTGTAGCATACTTCGAATTATCGCCTATCTATTGTCCGACAGTTTTTATTCCTCTTACTCAGCAGATCTCAATTTTCTTCGAATGACTAGCCCCCACAACCTCATGAAAAGATCTTGGCCGCTTGATGTCAGTTGGCTAGGACATTTGGGACAACGCGACTCTTCAGCTTCTTCTCGTAGCTTGCAACTCTGAGCCAAAGTTGAGTGCTAACAACCACACATCGCTTCTTCCGCCGCTTCCCTGCGTATCATTCGTTCTTAACTCAGTTCCAAGTCGCCCGAGAAAGGCGAATCTCCACGGAACAGATCAGGAGATGAATTCTGCGCGTCTCCTACACACACGAATTAAACTGACTATCTCCAACTGTCGGAGCGGTAAAACTAAGGACGAAGATCTTGATAGTCTCGCGATAGTACTCTGGCAGACTTGCATGTCACCCAACATTCAGCAGATATCGGATTATTGCATATTCATAGGGAACGCAAGTCCATAGTTTTCGCTCTTCAACCCGCATGTTCAGCGCGGGTTCTGGCCATACCCTCAATGAGAGTGGGGACGAAGGCTCAAAGATCGTAATCATCACTTAGTCGACGTCCTTGTGTATTGTATTGGCAAATTAAAGTAGACAACCTTTCTTGACTATATTTATGATTTATAGCTCATCGTGGTGTCCAGACTCGGCGTCGGCATCACCTCCGACCTCGGCTTCAACTTCGTCGGCTACCTGTTCAGTAGAGTTGTGGTCATCTTCGAAATCGATTGGGTTGTTGCTGTTTTCAGTAACAAAAGAGATCAATGCCTCGAGAGATCGATCGCCGCTGTAGTCGATGAATTCTCGAGTACCCGCGCGCTTGAACTTCAAGGTGGGGAAACCGGGGACTTCGAAAGGAGCGCTGGCAGGCAGATCGTTTTCGGTAGCGTCCATTTTAGCGCTGTCATTGGGAAGGAAACGTAAGCATATCGTTTTACTACGCTATTAAAACGGAGTGGACGCACATGGTCAAAGTGTTCTTGAAGTCTTCAAAGTGTTCACCGAGAGAGTCCCAGATAGGGGCCAATCGTTGACAGTGGCCGCACCTACGAAAAGGAGAGGGCCATGTTAGCGGACGATGATAGATGACGAGTCGCTATCCAGAACGTACCAAGGAGCGTAGAACTCGACAAAGACATCCTTGTCGTCATCGAAAATAACCTTGTCGAATTCGGAACCGACCAAGATGTGAACGGGCTCGTCTTGGCTAGCGGGAGGGGGAGCACTCTTCAAGCTCGGTGCGAGCTTGCCAGTCTCAAAGTCTTGAATCCATGAAGCGAGAGCGTCCGCGTTGAATTTGTCACCGGATGCGGGGTAGACGTACTTCTTGCCCTTTCCTTCAGGAGTCATGTCTTGGATAACGAAACCGGGGTAAGATTCGGTGTCGATATTGAGCGATTTACCGTGTTCAACAAAGGTCACACCGTCAATCCAGACAAAGTTAACCTTGCCCTTGTTGGCTTTGGCAACGGGCTTGATGGACTGTACGAGACTGTTCAAACGAGAATCATCTGGCTTGATGAACAAGTAAGCCAAAGGAATACCTTGTTCGGCGTAGGTAGCAAAGTTTTCGGGAGAAACTTGGTCCATCAACGGGGTCGACTGCTCCTTGAGCCAGCTGACAAGAGACTCCGCGGAAAGAGCAGAAGGCTTTTCAGGAGCGACGACCATACCCTCGTCGAACTTCTTGTACATGACAATTGACGGGAACCCTGCCTCAGAAGGAGCAAGGGAAGGGTCGGTGGCGTAGCCGAAGAGGAAGTTGTCCCGGTACTGGTCCGATACATTCTTGAAAGCCTTGGCGATATCGTTTTCGGATTTGGCGTACGCGATGACGACGCTGAAGAGCATGCACAAGATGGTGTTTTAGCTCTAGCGGACTGAACGAGACGCATGATGCAACTTACACCTTGTCCTTGGTCTTGAACTCATCGTGGGTTTCAGGAGTAACCTCGGAAATTGCCGGAAGGGATTGCCTGAATGACGGCTGAGGTTAGAATGGTATCGCTTGTGGTCTCAGGAATGACATACTTGAGCATGTAGCTAATAATCCCATCAGCTTTTCGTGGTCCTCCGTAGTCGGCAGCGACACCCTCTCGGAATACCTTCAAGGTCCTATTGATTGTATTCAAAGCAGGGATGGACTTAGTGCTAAGGAAGGCAGATCGGAAGGAGGTGGTAGTCACTTACGGGTATCCTTTAACACCATGTTCCTGACACAGTTCTTGGTTTTCAGTACAATCAACCTTCATCAGCTTGATTCCCTCCTTGGTCTTGAGTTCAGTGGCGGCTTCCTCATAGTGGGGAGCAAGACTCTTGCAGTGACCACACCAAGGAGCGAAGAATTCTACCAAAGCCAGCTTTTCGCTGTTAACTTCCGAGTCAAAGTTGGACTGTGTGAGGTCGATGACATCGGACGCAGCTCGAGCGGCGGCGGAGAGAAGAAGCAGGGATGCTGCTTGGGTGAAGAACTTCATGATGGGAGGGGAGACGACACAGTATTTGCCCTGTTTGACTCTACAGGATGTCGACAGTGCAGCGAGATATATAGACGGTGCTCGAGTGCTCAGGGGAATGACCAAGCGGCGTCGGAACCAAATGGCTGCCACGTCCCCGCGCTGAACTGCCTGGGAATTCTTCCATTGTTCTACTCGGAACGGGACCGGGAAAAGCGAGATCTGTTAACTCCGACTGGTACAGTATGTTCATCCCTGTTGACGTGATTCGCCTTCTTCGGGGATGGGTAATACGGGAGCATCAAGGTATGTATAGGATGGTGAGATCAGCTGTGTGGCCTGTATTTGATATTCCGGAGACACGGGGAACTTCCTCGCAGCAGGAAGAGCGGATTCAGGTTAATCAACAGAATCCTTTGGCAGGGTATACCTTCACCCAACATCTCTATGGTGAAACGGTATCATGGTCGCTTGCCATTGCCTCAACGGCTCAACTTGCGATCGGCAGGGGTTCGACTCCCCTTGGAGATACTTTTTTCCCTATCATCGCTCGTGCCAGATGGCGAAGAAGCTGCATTTTGATATGGTGGCGGACGATGGGCCCCTGCGAAAGAGGAGAACAGCTTTTTCCACCCAATAATTCCCCTCAAGC